TTTGCTATGTGACCTATTCAGCTGCTTTTAATTTGAAATGAAATATGTTTGGCTTTTATTTTCCTGTTGTGCCTGTGTTGTTATATAATATATATCTTTAAATGTTGTAAATGTTGGTATTTTCCGGGATGTGTAGTGGTCGTATTCAACCAAAGAGGGGCGGCTGTTCCTCCTCCTGCCTGCCGGTGAAAAGCAGCTTCCAGCGGGCTGCCTCTGCTGCTGTGGCCGCTGTCGGGAGCTCTGTTTCCGGTCACGTCTCCGGCGGCACCGCGGCGGTTCGAACTCGACCTCCGGGGCTGTTCGGATGAACCCGGGCAGCAGGTGAAGAGTTTTCTCTCTGTTTCTGTATAAAAGAGTGATTTCTGGAGGATAAAAACGCGACAGGGTTGTTTATTTCTGCTTTTCAGACGGTTATTTATTTATTTATTTATTTATTTATTTATTTATTTATTTATTTATTTAGGTGGACCCTCCGCCATGTTGCTGCCGCTCTGTCACAGTTTGACTCTAAAATAAATCTTTTTTTAAATTATATATATTTTTTGTAAACAGCTGAGCAGATGGAACACACCTAAACCTCTGACTACAGCCGCCATCTTGGTTTTTAACATATTTTCTGCTGGTTTGAAACTTTACCTTCATGTTAGAAAATAAAGAATCTGCATTTAAAAGTAAAGACATCAGTTTATTGTTAAGTAATTTACGTTGTTACGTTGAGTAAATCTGTTTATAGCCTAAATTATAAATTAAACAAGTTAAACTCTGATCAGAGCTGTTTTTTTCCCCACAAGATGTTGAATTTAGAAATAAACCAGAGAACTGAAGTTGCTGAATGTTTTGTTTAAGCAGATTTAAAACATCCATAAATTAGACCTTTATTTTTTATTTTTAAAATGACTGCAGATTTTAAACAAATTATATTTTCTGCAAAATGCTGCGTTCTGAAACGAGCTGAAATAATTTAAGTTATTAAGACTAAAAGTAGCAAAAAAACTAAAAGCACTCAACGAAACCTAAACAAGTCATTATGTTGGCCAAAAGTTGCAAAAAAGTGGCTAAAAGAGACAAAATACAAAAAAGCTGCAAACAGAAGCTAGAAGCTATGAGAAGAAAAAGCTAAAAATTAAAAAGTGTATAAAGCCAGCTAACAAGCTAAAATTAGCAACATGCTAGAAACTATAAATAACAAAGTATAGCTAAAAGCTTAAAAGAGCAAATCCATATGTAGCCTAAAAGCAAAATAAATGCTTGTAAAAGGCTGAAGCAATGCCCTTCTAGCTGAAAGCTGAAAGAAAAACAGCTAGTAGCTAAATATGAGCTAAAAGTTTTAAGTAGCTAGTTAGCAAAAGGCTATCTGAAACCTATGGAACAAACACTAGATAAAAGCTAYATGTGAGCTTAAAGTAGCCAAACACATTTCCAGTTAAAAGTTACCAAAGCATAGCTAAAAGTACCTAAAAGCTAAATGTAGCAAGTCAACTAAAATGAGCAAAGTAGCCAATTATTTACACGAAAAGTAGCAAAGTTGACAGTTTCAGTTTCTTTAAAATTGTAATATTTTTTGATGACATCACTGTTAAGCAGCTAATTATTATCC